CCTCCATGAGGTGCTGGGCAGCTCTGCAGGCTCTGGATGCAGCTTTCCTCTCGACCCTCACCCTGTTTACTTTTCTATCCCAAAATCACTTCGTGGCAAGAAAAGATCTGATTGACTTACTAATAATCGAGGAAGCAGCCAATACATTCCCCCTTCCAAAGAGAAACTCCTTCATATGCCAAATGTCCCTTTATAACAGTGGATTTACAAGCTCACAAAGGTCCTGTTGATGGTAGTGGAGAGGGAAACACAGGAAAGTGTATGTATTTAGATGGAGATTGTGCCCAGTGTTCTCTCTGTTCACTGCTCCACCTTAGCAAGTGCTATAATTCTCAGCCTTCTGCACCCTCTGTTCATGCGAATCTGCAAAATTTCCCTGCGAAGGTTGAGGCTGGGTCTCTGAACAGGCCAAACAGAATTTCTTAGCCACAACTTTTGAGAAAATGTGAAACTGGATCTTGATCACTGGGAACCTGCCATCATCATTAAGCAGAGAAGAAAAAGCAAACAGACATCTGCTCTGTCCAGGAGCAGGAAGAGCATGCTAATCAGCAGCCACTGCTCCACGGGGAACACTGCAGCCTCAGCTCGGACAGACAGGCTGCACAGCCAGGCAGAGGCCAGACAGGCCGCAGTCATGCCAGTAGCAATGGAGGTCACCACCAAAGTGTCCAGTGAGCGTCTCCCCTCTGATAAGGGAGGGAGCTAAATGGAGCATTCTCCATCACTGCCCATCTTCCTCTTCTAGACCCTGCGTCCCAGGAACAAGCCTGGGAGCTGAGCCCACAACCTGGATCCTGTGCCTTTCATTCCCGGGGCTTGTCACAGATTCTCGTCTCGCCTCCTTCTAGTCAAGTCTCGTCTACCTCTCAAGGCCCTGCTCCAGATCCACATCCCTCATTTACTAATTTACTCACCAAAAATGAAGACTTAAGTTGTACAAAATGCCATGTGACTCCTTGTGTGCAATACAAAACACATTGTGGGGAAAGCAAAGCAGGAGAGAGTAAACAGATTCAAAAGTGGCTCCAACACAGCCAGACCATGAGGCAGGTAGGACCAGGTGCTGCGTGCTCACGGTGAGTTGCACTCAAGCCTCTTCAAGACATCCTTGAGAAGGTGGCAGCTGTGCCAGAACTTGAGGAGACATCGAYATGGGGAAGAACCAGCAGGAACCACTGGTGTAAACAAATGGAGGAGGATCGTGCAAGGCGTGTGTGAAGAGCACCAATGTGTCCAGCGTGATGGGAAACGGACTTGGAGGTGCAGGCATGAGATGTGGGTTAGACACACATTGAGGCCCAATTGCCACGGCCCTTCCAGAAAAAAAAAACAGGAAATGCCACCACCCGACCTCTCTTCTCTATGGCTTTGCACACTCAATGGCAGATATTCAACAAACGTGTGTTGAATAATGAATTAATAAGCTAATCTCTGTTAAATGTTTCCATATACCAGGGAAATGTTTTAAGTCAAAACTTAGTTGCTTCAAAGTAATCACCTTTGTTCCCCCAATATTTGTAAAATGAATAATTAGAGCTCTACTGTGTGAAGCAGGATCATGGTTAAGGCACCTTGGGGTGCTTTATCTCACTAACTATGTAACTTCGAATGGAGACAGAGCCAGAGCTGGTGGCCTGGAGGAATCTGGAAGAACTGTGTGGAGGCCAGGCCCTTCCAGCAGCCTAACCTCTGACACAAAAGCAAATCAGGACCCCAGGACTTTTGCCCATATGCTGTCCTTAGGGACCTTCAAAGACAGAAAAACATGCATGGCCATGTTAGAATTTAAGAAGAAACAGGTGTTCAGCAGATCCAAACGTGCAATGTGGGAAAGGCAAGAAACATGTCAAAACTCACGAAGGTGTGATTTTTATGCAGAGCAGGAACAGAGAGAAATCAGCAGCACCTGCAGGATACATGGGGTTGAAGAGTGTAGGGACATCGCTGGGAATCCCAGGAACAATGAAGACAAAGCTGTCCTGGTTCCTGTGTCCCTCTGAACACTTGCTCAACATTGGCAAGGTGTGTCCATTCTTCAATAACAATACAGAGTGTTTTTTATTTAGGGCTTTTTCCTGAAATCCAGGTGGAGGTAAGGAAATAATGGGCAAAATATCACTTATACTCTTGGTCCTCCCCAGATCACTTGTAGCTTGCAGTCCCCCTCTCCATTAGCAATTGTGTGACCTTGGACATGCAACCGCGGTTCGGCATCCTACCACCTATGCAGGTCATTTCTCTGCACCTCAGCCTCTTCACAGAGTGCCCACCACATAGGGCTGTGGTGTGGATTCCATGATCAAATATTTATATAGTTAATATGCATGAAAGGCACTTAAAGCCATGCGTGGCACAGAGTAAGCACTATGTAATGTTAGGTGATGTGATTATTATTATTTATAGCATGACCCTGCAAGTATTAACGATTTGGGTAAGTTTTCTTGTTAAATGCTTCCTACCAGTGGTCTGCAAAAAGTTCCCTGAAATGGAGGTTATTTATTGCTTTCCCCTACTGACTTGCCCACCCCACATTTTCCGAGGCGCTCGGGTTATTTTCTAGTGTGTTCTTGACTACACACGTTTTATTTCTGGAGTATCATCATTAACATCCTTTTCCTTATCTTTCTTTCATCTCTCCCACTTAGACTTCCGGATCAGGGGCGAAGTGAGGAAGTGCAACCCCGGGGATTGAGCCCTTCACCTCCGTCCTCTCCAAGGACAGAAGCCGGGAGTGGCCCTGGGCGCGTCCGTCCGGTGGCGGCCGCTGGCCGAGCGCGTCCGCCTGCCCGCCTGGCTCTGGCTCCTCGGCAGCGGCTCTGCTGGCTACGCGGCCGGGCAGGGGCGAAAGGCCACCCGGGCGCGCGCCCCGCTGGCTGGGCACCGAGCCCCCGCGGACGCCGGCCACCCGGGCGCGCGGCCGCGGGCAGGAAGGGGCCGGCGCTCGCTCCGCCCCGCCCGCCGCCCGCGCACGCGGACCGGCCGGGCGGCTGCGCGGGCACGTGGGCGCCGCTGTCACTCACGCGCAGGCTGAGCTTCGCGCGGCGGGAGCGGCGGCGGGCGGCGGCGGCGGCGGCGGCGGCGGCGATGGGACCCCAGCGAGAGATCTGCAGCTAGGCCGGCTGCACTTGCTCCACGGGTCAGGGATCGCAGGGCCAGGTAACGCCGCGGAGCCGTGCCGCGCCCCCTGTGCGCAGCTCCCAGCGCGCCCTCCCCGCTTTCCCCTTCCTCCCTCCTGGCGCACACGTTCCTCTCTCTCTCTCTCTCTCTCTCTCTCTCTCTCTCTCTCTCTCTCTCTCTCT